CATGCACATTTGCAAATATTGTTTTGTGAGCTTGATACTAACAATAGACCAGAAGGTTTTTCAAGCTAACAAGAAATTGCTCAGTGTTAAAGGTGTTGGGACAGTGCCAATCAAAATCCTCACTACAAGTGGAGAAGTGATGGATATTAAGTTAAAGAATGTGGCTCTAGTTCCTGAAGCAGTTGATAATTTGATTTGAACCAAAAGATTTGTGGACAGTGATCATACTATGTTGCTTAGGAGAACGAAAGGAAGTAAGATTGTTGCTGAAATGTCTGGAATTGAATTTGAAGTGGATGAGAGAAATGGATTTCATTATCCTGTGGATGTTAGTGAAGAATCTGAAAATTGTTAATGCTGATAAGAGACAAGTTTATCAAACTGGCAATGGCTCCTGTAATCATCAGAATTGCTTGTATGCATGGCATTTGAAGTTTGCGCATCGGAGTATGCAGAGTGTTGAAAAGTTGTTGAAGGAATGTGGAATTCCTGTTGTGAGTTGTGACGAGACAAAGGAGAGATGTGACACATGTCTCAAAGCGAAAGGAACTGCTCCAAAATATACTGGGAAGTCCACTGCTCGCAATGAAAAGTTTCTAGAGACTGTATACAGTGATCTTGTTGGTCCACTAGCGCTCATATTCTGTATGAGAGTGTTTGCCTTCTTTGGGTGCCAGCCACTGTGTCCATTCTGCTCACTTCAGTAGCACATATACTAAAATTGGAACGATACAGAGATTCTGTCTGCCTTTCTTGGAGAGCCAAAGGCCTCATGTCTCCCCTGCTCTTCTGCCTGAATCCAAATGACATCTGAGCACTGCCCCCGTGTCGGAAGCAAAACGGCCTTTGGCCGGCCTGGCCCAGCTTCTCTTACAGTCTCATATCACAAGTGTTACAGCAGAAAAGAATTGGATGCTTGTCTGCAGAATGAGGGGCAGAAGGACAACTGACAAAGAAGTAGCACTTCTGAAGCAGATTTAAATAGTCATAGGATTTAATTGAAACCATCTTGGCCTTTGGCCCCACCCCTTCCCTCAGTTTGCTCCGAAGAAATCTGCTTCCGTACCTGACATTGGTGTGATTCCTTCCCATTGATCCATTCCCCCCTCCTTTCCGCAGGGCCATGCTGTCCCAAGGAGGAGAGAGAGGACTGAATGGTAAAGAAGCAGAGAGTCTCCTCCACCCAGTTCCAGGGACTGACTGGGGTGTTGCCTTGTGAATTCACTCAGGGTGGTGAGGGACTTCATTGGACCTTTGGGCATGTCAGCACTACCACTGGAGGGGATGTGGGCTTAATAGATGGGAGGGGGCAGAGGTTCTGGCTGTCAGGAAAGATCCTGTTTCTTATATGTTGGTGGCTGCCAAGACTTCAGTGGCTAGGCATTGGGAAAGTAGTATACAACCCTCATCGAATATGTGGTTCAATAAGTTATGGGAATACCTGGTCATGGGCAAAATATCAGATGTCATTTCCTTGGTGGAGAATCTGGACTTTCATTCAGACGATTTGGAACGTTGGTTCTCTTTTCTTGAATATATGGACAGACATAGTAAGCTTAAAAAGGCACTTCCTGATCATTTGAAGGTTATAGCTATATACTGAATAGATGTTTGGTTTTATTGCTCTTGGGTTTTTTGTGTTTGTAATTATGTTGTTATCAGTGTTCCCTCTAAGCTGAGTTAGTGTGAGCTAGCTCACAGTTTTTTAGCCTCTGGCTCACACATTTTTGTCTTGGCTCAGGAAAAGTGGCTCCAGAGCAAACTATGCAGTAGCCAAATCGCTGGCTCACAACTTAAATGCAAGTAGCTCACAAAGTAGAATTTTTGCTCACAGGACTCCATAGCTTAGAGGGAGCATTGGTTGTTATTGTTGTGGTCTCCTAATAGTATGTGCTACTGTAAATTGTTGTTGTATGATATAAATAAAAGATTATTAAGGGGGGGGGAGAAACACTACCATCAAGAAAGAGGTGAGGAAAAGTCCGGTCAGGAAGCATCCCGCAATTTTTCTGCCTAAGAAAAAGAATAGTACAGATTATGCTTGGAGCCGGCGTGGTGTAGTGGATAAGAGTGACGGACTCTAATCTGGAGAACTGGGTTTGATTCCCCAACTCCTCCTCCACATGAAGCCTGGTGGGTGTCCTTGGGCCATTCACCGTTCTGAGAGAAATCTCTCACCCCCACCTCTTGGCCCCACCTACCTCATAAGGTGCCTGTTCTGGGGAAAGGAAGGGAAAGGTGATTGTAAGCCACTTTGAGACTCCTTCAGGTATAGAAAAGTGGGGTATAAAACCCTTCTCTTCTTCTTCTGGAAGCAATAGGTATATTTCAATGACCACACCAAGATTAAATCTGTCAGTCAAGTTTAATTCATCGTAAAGAAGTAAACTACATTGGTATATTTAAGACAAACACTTTGTTTTCTATGCACACTATCCACTGGACAGTCCCTTTTCCAAAATAACTACTTTTTAACAGTCCCAGAAAAGAAAACGCTTCTTCAGAAAGCCTGCACATTGAATCTGCTTTCTGCATTCCCCACCCACCCACCCTTTTTTAAAAAATTCATCTGAGTAGGAGAAAAAGAACTGTTAAACCTGAAAATATTTTACATTGCAAGCCATGTTCCAATGCATCAATTGGCATACCATAACCAATGTATCACAATGTGTTTTACTTAATTCACTTTTGTTCATCAGTAAAAGAATATAAAAATTTTGTCCGACAGAGTGTTGTGTATTAAAATAGATTTGTATAGTACTGCACAGTTTCTCCCGGAGTTGTGGAAATGGTGGAAGGGACCGTGTGCCACCCGGTGATGGGCGACTCCAAACAAACAAACAAACAAACAGCGAATGAGAAAGCCAAATCCCTCCCTTGACATCTTCTCTTGGCACCATAGGATGGGCTGATGGGAGCTGCTTTGCCTGTGGAATGCAGGATCCACTTGCTTTTGTCCTCCTTCCACGCAAGGGCACCATTAAGGGGGTGTGCCCAGCCCATGTCTCCCTTGGGCTTTTGGCCATGGGTGACGCTTATTTCTGAGGAGCACTTACTAGTTCTAGACACGGACTACCATGATAAAAATAGGCCTGTGCTCTAGGCATGCATGCCAAAGGCATAAATCCCTTTGTTTAAAAAGACTTCGGTTAGTGTCGACAAAACTGCTATACTATGAAATATTTATAAGTGCCCATAACACATGCTCTTAAGATACACGGCTACTTTGCTGTTTAACCTCGACTCCCAGGTGACTGCAATGGGGCTCCTGCTGCAATACCTCTTGTGCCAGGGAAGAAAACAGAAACCAGTAGACTAGATCAGCCAGGCTGAAGACGTACTGGGTTGCCCATCACTGACTTCTGAGGTAGGGCTCCTCAGGTTCACCTAGGGTTTCCAGCTCCAGGTTGGGAAATACCTGGAGTTTTGGGGAGTGGAGCCTGAGGAGGGCGGGGTTTGGGGAGGGGTTTGGGGAGCCCACCTTCCAAAGCAGCCATTTTCTTCAGGTGAACTGAAGTCTCTGTCTCCTGGAGATCTCCAGCCACTACCTGGAGGTTGGCAACACTAGGTTTCCAGCATAGATGCCTCTTGGCCTCTGTTGGGGCCAAAATGACCCTTGTTTGCTCAGGAAGACTAGCTAGTGAGGAAAAAGCAGGTTCTCTGGCATTCTCTCAGGCCAACACTGAATGTTTCATGTGTGATTAAAAAATAGAAAAAAATAGCTCCTTTTTCAAAAGAAACAGACAACAACCAGTTCTTTAGAATCTGTCATCCTATCCCACCCCCAAAGCTCTTAATCTATTGAATAAAAGAAATAACCCCTTGAGGCAGTTTATTTCCTGTACTATTTAGCAGACAGTTCTGCAAGCAAAAAAAAAGAAGAAAAGAAAGGAAAAAGGAAAAAAATATTTTTCACATTCCATACTTCACAGTAAAAATGCAGTACAAAAGTGTAAAGTTATTTGGCATATCATTTGTACTGTTGAGACAGAAAAAAGCAAAACAAAAAAAAGTTTATTTGCTTTCTTTCTCTTAACAAAAACATACAAAAAATAAAGATCCAACCTGGCTGAAGATATTTGTCACTTTTATGGTTTATGCTAAAACCTTGCACAAAAAACTCCATGAGAAAAATACATTGATAGCAAAATAAGTCGAAAGGCCCTGCAAAATTTAACAGGTTTTACAGGCATACCTCTTTAAATACTTCAGAACGCATATACAGAAGCATCAGCATGAAAATACTTCAATATTTCACTAGAAATGCTAATTTCATACAATGTTTTTTTTTCTTATTTAAATATCTGCGATTCTCAACTATAATACTGGGAAAGAAAGGATTTGATTCCAAAGGCTCTGTGAGTGTCTCACAAACGTAATTCTTCTCAAACCGCTCATGCCTGGTTCAACCTGAATCAATGGGACAGACCTTGTGAATTTTAAAATCAGGAATCCACATTGTTTTCTAAGTCATTTGTCCCCACCCACCCACCCTCAGAGTCACCAGTCCCTCATTCTTGCTCCCCCATACCATCTACCTGCATACTAGCTCACTAAATCTTTGCATTTAAAACTATTTATCTTTTAAAAGGCAAACTCCTCCCCGTCCTACCCAAAACAATCCTCCATCCCACCCACCCACCCACCCACGCTCCCTGGTGGCCAAAGTAGGCTGCTCAGTTTTCCATATTCCTTCTTAGACACATTAAGGCCAACGTAACGAAAGAAGAAGAAGAAGAAATCTCGCAAGCACCAAAAGGTCTCAGCAGTACAGAACTGCAGCATGACCTATTCTCCGGCAAGCGGCTGTTAACGCCCAGTGGATTGGGATTAGGTTTAGCGACAAACGGACCAACATAGCCTTTTCCCTTCAGTTTCCTCCTTGCTGCAGTTGTCGGGTATCCCTTGGTCTTGCGTGTGCCTAGGGTGTTTCCTGCAGGGGAGGCGGTTCCCTTTCTTGTCGAAGAAGAAAAAAGGTTCTCCGGCCGCCGCCTCCTCCGTCAATTGTTACCCTGTGTTGGCTGCAGGGCTTTGTGTACCACAGCAGCTGAGGCAGAAGAAGGCTTGATCCAGGGAACAGTCAGCAGGGAGGAGGTGGTGGTGGTTGTCATGGTAACCTGAATCATCGGCTCATTCTGAATCAGTCTAATGAGAGTTTTGAGGCGTTCCAGAGATAACTGAACCCCTTTCTGCTGGGCCAAGAGGCTGTTTTTTAGCTCTAAGCGCTTCTGTCAAACAAGCAAACAAAAAGGAAAGGAAGGGTTAGTCCAATGCAGATGCACCTTTTCTGGGTGATGATTCAACTTCAGTTAGTTACACGTTAACACCCTTTAAGCATCCCGTCAGAATCACAATGGGGCACTTGGAGAGTGGAGGTTACTAGTGGGCTTATCTCGTATGTATGTTTATGTAGACTGCGGTAGGGGCAGCATATTAGTATTAGACGACAGTATTAGCCTCTTTCTAAAGGCTTAATAAACAAGATACAAAAGGTTGGTCGTTTGGGTATTTTTTAACTCCCAGGGCCCAGAATCCAAAGAACTGCACAACAAGTTCACAAGCTCAAGAGGGACGGTGAGCTGGCATTTCCTCCTCACCCAACAACTGAAGGGCAAATTATGATGCTGAAGGTGCTTTCAAAAACAAGTTGTGAATTGAAAATCTGCTCTTCAGAAGTCAAAAAGGACCTGGCTGACCATGGCCAAGCCTTGGAAGTAGCCTACAATAGTGCTGTGTATAATGGAGAGGTGGGTAGACGGATGGATGGATAGATGGATGGTGGTGTTTATGCAGCATTTGCAATAGTACAAGTTGAACTATCTAGTTATTTATTAAAACATTTATACCCCACCTTTCCTAGGGGTTCAAGGCAGCTTACAATAATACTTTTAAAAAAGCATTTCCAGTTAAAACCAGAATAAAACAGCAAACTCCATACAATGTAAAATATTGACCACCTAGCTGACAGTCCAGCAACTGCACTGGTGCATCGTAACATGGCTTTGCCTTCTGAATATTTCCCCCCCAGGAACACAGCAGGGAGGGACTGAAACTTTGTTGTTCATAGACTTCCAACATGTAGCAGCCACTTCCCTATGGAGCAGTCCCATAACATTCAGGAGTGTTCCTGCCCACGTGTGGTTTAACTCACACATTCTCTGGCAGTGTGGGATCACACAACACAGAATCAGCTCCCATTCTAGTCACTGTTATATTCTTCTGGGTGTATGTCAAAAATTGCAGGGAATATTCAGACTACCACTAACAATATTAAGCTAGGTTTACAGGGGTCTTCATAGAAATGGGAGACAGATGAGTTTGCTGATGGGAGTTTGAAATATACATCCCCAAAGGAAAATAACCAATTTGTAAATCTCTCCCAGTTAAGGCCAGCAAGTGTTCATGCCAAACTTTAAAAAAAAAAGATTTATTTGAATGTATTCACCCACTAATATAAAAGAGGCTTCCCCTCCAACATGAATTCTAATACAAAGGCATAACATTCCAAAAGCTGCCTTGAATAAGTTATATTTCATTTTACACTTTAATGTTACAACATTTCACAAATTAATTTTCATATTTCAAAGTGCAGGGTCCATTACCCCTTGGTTTTTATGTGTTCCTCTTAATTCAATTGCTTTTAAATTTAATTCTCCACTTTTATTGAATCTGGCCATTCAATTGCTCCATTTTAATTTAATGAAAACCTCAGGAACCAAGTCATTTTGCAGCATAATATTTTTGATTGCTCTCATCACATTAGGCCTTTATGTAGAACTGTAGTTCTGCAGTCACTGCTTCAACAGTGAAAAATGCATTCTGCTCATTTTCCTATATCTGCCCTCTATCTTCATTCATGTGTACTTCTATTGGAAGTACACATCCGGTGTCAGTTTCTTGCTCTTTCCTTCCTATTCTCATGTAGTTGTGCATGGACATGCTTCAAGGGAGCACATCCCACCCGGCTACCTGGCAACAAGTTATTAAGAACATAAGAAGAGCCCTGCTGGATCAGACCAGAGGTCTCTCTAGTCCAGCATCCTGTCTCACACAGTGGCCAACCAGTTCCTCTGGAGGGCCAACAACAGGGCATAGAGGCTGAGGTCTTCCCCTCATAAGAACATCTGAAGAGCCCTGCTGGATCAGACCAGCGGTCTATCTAGTCAATCATCCTGTCTCACACATTGGCTCACCAGCTCCTCTGGAGGGCCAGCAATAGGGCAGAGAGGCCGAGGCCTTCATAGGAACATAAGAGCCCTGCTGGTTCAGACCAGCAGTCCATCCAGTCCAGCATCCCATCTCACACACTGGCCAACAGGCTCCTCTGGAGGGCCAACAACAGGGTGTAGAGGCCAAGACCTTCCCCTAATGTTGCCTCCTGGCTTTGGGATTCAGAGGCCTAGTGCCTCTAAATGTGGAGGTTCCCCTCGGTCACCATGGCTAGTGGCCACTGGTAGACTTAGCCTTCACGAATCTATCTAATCCCATTTTAAAGATGTTAATCCCTGTGGCCATCACTACATCCTCTTGCAGTGAATTCCACATTTAAATCACTCTCTCTGTAAAGAGTGATTTCTCCTTCCATTTTCTTTCAAAAGACATGGGACCCTTACCCTAACCTTATGATATCCCTCCTGGATAACAGTTGCATTGAAACAAAAACACGGCCAGCTGCTAAAGCAGAAACTACTTTTAATTTTCAAGGACTAGGGCTGCCAAATCCCCCCGGGGGGCGGAAATCCCCTCGCCCCAGAGGCCCGTTCCCCGACGCCGGAGAATCGGGCCCCGGGGGGAACCCCGCCCCAGCATGCACGTCACAGGGAAGTGACGTCATGACGCCGGGCACGCTGGGGGCGGGGCCACGGCCATACAAGGGAAAACTCTATGTTTTCCCCTCGGATGGTCGTGGCCCTGCCCCCAGCGTGCCCGGCGTCGTCACGTCACTTCCTGGTGATGTGGATGCGGCGTGTGCACGCTCCGGGATCAACCCGGGAGTCCCCCGCTCTGCAACAAGGACGGACTTGGCAATCCTACAATGGGGTATAATGCCATAGAGTCCGCCTTCCAAATCAGCCATTTTCTCCAGGGGAACTGATCCCTGTAGCCTAGAGATCAGTTGTAATCCCAGGAGATCTCCAGCCACCACCTGGAGGTTGGCAAACCTAATTCAGAAACTTCTAGCACTAGCTGTAGGCCCAGACATGCCCCCCCCATCACACTCTGACTGAGCATGCCCAGAGGGGAGGAGCCTTGCATTGTGGCTTGGTTCCTTCCAAAACATAATAGTACACCACAGGTTCAAAAGCAGGGAGGGCCTGGCTTAGCTGCGGCCCGAATTTTGCGGCCAGGCAGGGGAGGAGAGTTGGCTGGATGCTGGGGGGGGGGAGCAGGGCTCAGAGCGGCAGGAAAATTAGGCCTTTCCCTGGGGCCAGTCACAGGGTACCAAGGTGGCTGGGGGCTGGTTGTCACAGGGGAAAAGGGCCGGCCACTTGCCTCCTTCCCCAGGTTGTGTAACTGCCTAGATGACCACTCAAAGGACAACAGCAACAGATAAGCAACCCTGTTTCTACTTCTCTGTGGTCTCTATGCATCACACTTATAGGTAAAAACTAGCTATTTGGTCACACCGGAGGCAAGCACAGGTTTCCCGTTAAAAAGACACGTGCTGCTGCTCAGCCAATGGTGGTATCATCTGTGGCCCACATGTCAAGGATGAAATATTTGACACAGGTAGTTGGCATAAGTATGGCAGAGGCGAAGAAATGAAGACAGGACAGGAAAAGATCTTAACTATACTGTGAGAGTTTTTTTTAAAAAAAATTATAGATACTAATGCTAGAAGATAGTGACAGTATTTCTGCCCTTAAATGGCAGCACTGAAAACTGTAAAAAATAATGGGGAATTTCGCATTACCCTTTTGAAACCGTTATTGTATCATCATGGGCTAAACCGGTACAGGGACGGCTGTTTCACACATCCTTTCCCTTCCGGTAAGGAGCCGTCTCTGAAGTGGTTTGTCATTTCACACTGTGCCACTTTCTTTTCCTGCCATTCCCCCCTGTACATGATCTCCCTGACAGGGTTTTGTTTCTTTCTTTTTCTTTCTTTTTTTAAAAAACATTCTATTAGGAGCGCTATGGCGTTGAATCAGGACTACAAATCAGCGCCATAGCGACCCCATTGAAATGCCTGGACTCCATTTAGATACGATGATGTTTGCTACTGCTGTCCCCTGGAAACAAGGAACTCACTGGATACAGAATTCAAGCATGGGGGGGGACCGGAGAGTTTGGAAATTCTGGTGCTTTTTAATTAATCAAAGCCCAAACTAGTAAAGCCCCCCCCTCATTTTCATGCTGTGCTGGTACGTTTGTGCTTATTGCTATTTTCAGGCCCTGTTCACACGGAGCATTTGCTGCGCTGAAGGCATGATAGTCCCGCAGATTTTCTGGGCGTGATCACACCAGAACATCTGGGAGGCGTAGTGCACCCGTGGCTAACCCGTGGCTTCTTGTCGAAGATGCGGAGTAAAAAACTACCGCAAAAAGTGTATTCGTTTCCGGGAAACGCGGGGCAGGGGCGGGCGTCTGATCGCATTTCCGCTTGAATCCCGTGGCATCCGGTGCCCGTCCATGTCCTGTCGCAAACCGGATTTTTTTTTTAAAGTCTCCACAGGATGCGCACAAATGCCCAACGGTGCATGCACACAGAGAGGAAAGTGGGGGGGGGGGAATCCCGTTTGCCATGGAAGTGGTGTCTAGCGATTGCCGGTGTGATCGTGCCACACTGCTTCTTTGCCATGCTTCGGGATAGCCGTATGATCGGCACCTAACGACGTAACCACGGGAACTCCATGGGATGTGTGATCGGGCTGCCGTGCTTTACTTTGCTTCGGGGCAAACAGCCACGCCTCCCCCCCGCGTTATCCGGCCCATGTGACCAGGGCATCAGTGATTTAATCTTTAAACAGACTTGATAAATACAATGTCTGTCCCAAAATTACCTTTTAAAATCCATGCTGAGATGCAGTAGCGAACGTCAGTGTATTTAAATGGAGTCCAAGGATCTCAATGGGGTCGCTATGGCGCTGATTTGTAGTCCTGCTGCAGCTCCATAGCGCTCCCAATCGAACATTTTTTTTAAAAAGGATGATCACACATGGGGAGAAAAAGGGTGCAAAAAGAGCTGTCACTGCAGGAAGCGCTACAGGGGCATTTTACACAGCACCCCATAGCGCTTCAGAAGCGGTAGAAGGGTTTAAAGACCAGTTGGAAGCAGTTTGTAGTAAAAACGCTTCAACCACGCTTCCTGAATGGGACAGAAGCGTTTCTGTATGAAAGGGGAAATATATTCCGTCAGGGAACCGTTACTAAAATGGGCTGAAATGACAGACAGAAACCGTTAGTGGAGAGTTCCTGGGATGGAATATATAGGCTGTCTGAAATTCCTCAATGTAAGGCCACCACTCCTTCTAATAACTTGAGGGTCCCATGTCTATCAGTAGGACAGCAAAAGACCACGTAGGGATTTCCCAGGAATGCAGAAAAAATATCAGTCTGCACATTTAAAAGATCCCTGCCCTACGCAAGCGCTGAGAAAGAAATCACATTGCCTTCTAGATGCCATGGTTCATGTCGTCCCATTTCCCCCCATCCAGTTGAAGCTGACTTATGGCTAACGCAGTAGGGTTTAAAAGGCAAGAGATGTTCAGAGGTGATTTGCTATTGCCCGCCTCTGTGTAGCAACCCTAGATTTCCTTGGTGGTCTCCCATCCACGTATTAATCAGGGCTGACCCTGCTTAGCTTCTAAGCAAAGGCAAACGAAACCGCAATGTAAAAACAACAGAAAGCAGAACACTATGAGCACCGTTTAGATGTAAGGTTTGCCAGTCTGTGCATTTGGAACTCACTAATTGGGGCTTCTGAAGAAGGAACGGCTACTGCGTTTACCGGAGCGACTGTCAAGACTCCCACAGTCTTCTTGCACTGCAGCATCTGGTGTCTGTGATCTTACTTGGACTCCTTGAGAGTTGTGTATTTATCTTTCCAACTTGGTGTTGATTTCTTGTAATGTGTTTTTTTTCTAATTTGGTGTGTATTTCTGTTATTGTACAACATTTTTGGCAATTACTTATGATAATCCTTTTGTAACCCTTTTCAATGCTATAGGTAAAGGTAAAGATTTCCCTTGCTCGAAAGCCAGTCGACTCCAACTCTAGGGGGTGGTGCTCATCTCCGTTTCCAAGCTGAAGAGCCAGCGCTGTCCAAAGATGTTTCTGTGGTCATGTGGCCGGCATGACTAGACGCTGAGGCGCACGGAACGCTGTTACCTTCCCACCGAAGCGGTACCTATTTATCTACTTGCAATTTCTTGCTTTTTATTTAAAAAACAATTTTATTAGGATACATTTCATAATTCAACCATACATCATTTTACCCACTAAGATATATCCTTTTCTCCTAATTTACCCACCCCTTCTGACTTCCCACAGTGCTCCAACCTCCAGCCCTCGTCTTATACTCCCCTCTTTTCCCCCTTACTTGTCTATCAACTTCTACAGGTAACATATCTTTTAACTTTTGTTCTTATACATTTAAACATATTCTAAATCTCCTTTTTTCAATATCAAAGCAAAGTAAGTTGTTTTTGCAATTTCTTGCTTTTGAACTGCTAGGTTGGCAGGAGCTGGGGCCAGAGACGGGAGCTCCTCCGCCAGGCGGCACTCGGGACTTGAACTGCTAAATTACTGACCTTCCGGTCTGCAGCTCAGCGTCTTAGCCACTGAGCCACCACGGCCCCTTTCAATGCTATAGACACACTGAATTTGTTAATGGTTTGTTCATTTACTCCATACATTCCATCCAATATTGAGTGTTGTTATATTTTGCATACACGGTGTTTATAGTCTTCTGCTTTCTCCTGCTTAGCTTCTGGCATCTAATGAGATGAGGCTAGACTGGGCCGACCAGGTCAGGGTGTGTTATCCCATAGTCTCTGTCTATCCTGTGCTTAACAATCACCAGACTGCCAGTGTAATAGGAGAAGAGAAGGGCAGATGAAATATTATTTCCATAAATCAATAAAAGTGTCATTTACACTCAAGGGTAAATAAGGCATGAATAACAAAGAGTTTAATATATAAAACATAAAACATGTAAGCCACACTAAGAGGAACTTGGGGGGCTCATTCCTGAGCACTTTGGAAATGGGTAAAAGGATTTAATGCCACCCTGTTATCTGAATTTTGGTGGAAGCATGTGAGAAATAACACACACACACACACACCAATCTTCCACACCTTGTTAAAGCAGTCGGATCTTTATAATGCTCCCTTGGAAACACATGGATATTACATTGTCTTGATATCCTATATGTAATATGATTAATGAAGTCACAAGTCACTTAGATTAACAGCTGTTTTAGATAAATTGGCAGAAGCTATTAAAACAGAATTATTAAGCATGGGAACAAGAAAAAACAAACCTTACTGAGGAATAATAAGTGCTATGAAGGGAAGCCCCACCTCACGAACTTCTGGTGTTCTTTGGGAGTGTTAGCAAGTATGCAGGCAAGGGTAATCCAGTAGACATTACCTACTTGGATTTCCAAAAAGCTTGTGGCCAACTCCATTGCCAAAGTCTCCTGAGCAAACTTAGCAGTCATGGGGCTAGAGGATGGGTCTATTGTTGTGGAACAGTAGCTAGTTAAATATGAGGCAAAAAATACAAATAAGTGGACAGTTCTTGCCAGGGAATAGAGTTGCCATTCCCATTTGGGGGTGGGGGAACCCCTGGTTTCGCGGACTTCTGCCCACTGCAGGCCAGCTGGCCATCGGGAAGAAATCCCCCCCAACCCCCCAGTAACATTGCTGGAAGTAAATGTGACATGCCTACATCACCTGGAAGTGACATAGGCATGCCGATGATGTCGGTGGGTGACACTCTGGTTTTCGGGCAACACTCATTGGTTTGAGGCTGATTTTACCACTAACCAGAGCATTGCCCCCGATGTCACCGACATGCGTACGTCACTTCCGGGTGATGTAGGGACGTTGTGTGACGTCACTTCCTACTCCCAGAACGTCTCCCCCCCCCATCCCCTCACCAGCATTTCTGCTATTTAGTTTGATTTAGTTCTGGAGCAAGGGCTGGTAGTCCACTCCTAGCAGAAGGGATTGGACAAAACTTTTGTCAGTCATTAGAAAGGGAGGTAACCTCTTGGACTGTGTATTTAAATACCCCACTCTCTTTTGCCTCTCAACCTTTTACTGACCAGTTTTATTTTCTATTTATTTTCTATTTTTCCTACTGCTTTTAGCTTTCTCCTTTTCAAAGAAGAGCAAACAGTAATTGCTAGACCCCCCAGCTTGACTGCTCCAAGAAAGGCAAGAACTGGCCAACTAGTTTTGTTTCTTATTTTGCTCTTGGTAATTGTTGGGGGTTAACTGTAACTCTGTTAAGCAGGGTTAACACTGCACCGGAGGATTACTGAGTTTCAAGAGTTCTTAAGATTTTTGATGGACTGAGGGATTCAGTCATACAGAAATTTAAAAATTAGCTTTGCTGTTGCAATTTGTGCATTACTCAGAATCTGATAACCATTTTATGTATCTTAATAAAGCAGTTGTTTCTGATTCTTTCCAAGTGAGTTTTCTGTCTTACTGCAAGACTTAAGCAATGCCCTGAAATTTATCCAAGGATTTGAGTCTTGGAAGAGAAACACTCTTGGTTAACAAGGGGAAAAGGCAAATTCTTTCTTAGGAATTATTAGGAGGGAGATAGAAAACAAGATGGGTGGTCCCTTGTATTGTTTTACGGTGAATGCATTTGGAAAATTGTGTACTGTTCTGGTTATAGTGCTGGAAAATATGCAGAAAAGAGCAACCAAGATGAACAAGGGATTGGAGTACCTTTCCTACACAGAAAGCTGTGTGTGTGTGTGTGTGTTAGTTTAGGAAACAAAGACAACGAAGGCAAGACAAACACAGGGACAACTATGGAAGTTGATGGGCAATAGGTTCAGGACAGCCTTCACACAATGTTTAATTAATTTGTGGAGCTCACTGATGCAGGATGTAGGGATGGCTTGTAATGCAGATGGCTTTAGAAATGGGATTAGACAAATTCATGGAGGGAGAGTTCATCAGTAACTATTAGCCAGGATATCTAAATGGAACTGCCATGATTAGAAGTAGTATACTTCTGAACACCAGTGGCATAGGAAAGCTGGGGGGGGGGCAGCTGGCTAGCCAATGCGGCAGAGAGAATACTGGACTAGGTGGCCCGATCCATTGGACTGATCTAGCAGGGCTCTTGTCCTTATATTCTTGCTTCTGTTAGCTGGCACAGTGAGATTTAGGCACTTATGGCCCACTTTCTCCTAGAAGAAGGTAGCCAAGACACTAGGCTGATGTGATGATACACATGGAATAATTTGGTCACAGTGCTGCTTTCTTTGCAAACACAGTTTTAAAAATTCCCTTAATTCTAAAAAGAAATTAGTTGGGTTACAGAAATGGGAGTTTCTACTTGGATGAAAATAGGGGAAGCTCAGGAATTTGCACACCTCTGAATCATGAATAGACTACAGCAAAGCATTTCTATGCCCATTGAATTGAATTAATTTATGTGCTTTGCTGGACTGTGAAGTGTTTCTTTTATTTTCTTGTAAGTAACCCAAAGTAAGAGTCACTTATAGGGATCACCATCCTCCTGTTATTCTGGAACGGAGAGAAGCATCAATTTTCTGAGTCCCGTGGTATAGGGTTGCCAAGTCGAAAATCTTCGGGAGCGGGGGACTCCCGTTCGGCGTCCTATGCGTGCATGCATAGAGTTTCCCCATCAGATGGTCGTGGCCCCGCCCCCAGTGTGCCCAGCATCATAACATCACTTCCTGGTGACGCGCATGCCGGGGTGGGGTTCCCCCCGGGGCCTGATCCACCGGCGGCAGGGAACGGGCCTCTGGGGCAGGGGTTTCCCCGCCCCCCCGGGGGGACTTGGCAGCCCTACCATGGTAAGAAATTGTGCTGCAGTCTCAGGTTTTCAGAAATAATTCATTTCTAACCAGTTTTGTAGGATAAACAAAAAGTGAGGAATTATACCTTTGTTGCATTGTTGAGAAGGTTTTCTTTTTCTTCTAGCTGCCTATATTCTTCCCTCAATTCGCTGCTTCTCTTTAATAACTTCCTTTTTTCCTCTTCTTTGACTGTCAAACAAAAGGCAAGAACATAGGTGCCAGATGATAAGGAGCATATAGGAGCATCTTCGGATGCAGCTAGAGAAACAGTATTTTGTATGACTGGACATAACTGTTATTAAGCAGATAGGAGATACCCCCACAATACTACCGGCAAAAGCTGAAGGAGGTACTATAAAGACACAGCCACATTACACACCGAGGAGTGTCCCTGTGCTCTGGCTTTACCATCTTTCATCTCCAGCCTGTGCCCTGGCTTTACCACCTTTACCACCGCACAACAAGTTGAGTGAACTGAGCTGGCATGAATACCACTGGAATATACGGTCACCTAAGCTGTATTATAAATAACTGCTCTCACTTTTATCAGATCACGTTCCAGCATTTTAGGAGTATTTTAAATGATTGTTATTTTATGTTTATATGTCTATGACAGGTTTTAATTGTATTTTATATGAAACTCTGTGTAAGCCGTCCTGAGCCAGCCGTGGCAGGGAGGATGGGGTATAAACCGAATTAAATAAATACTAAATACTAATAGATCACCAGTGAAATATCTATCATTATACTGTGTGTGTGTGTGTGTATGAGCAAGCTGCCAATGTGTTTTCCTATTCTCTATGTATGCGCTTGTCTGCTTTCACTTTCCCATGTATGCCTGTTTATGCGCTTAATTGCCTAGTTGCAGGAACGTCCGTATCTCTCAAGGCCACAGGTGGTTGCTGGCGGGTAGTAGCTTGGGTGATCTCATGGTACTATCCATGAGAAGCAAATGTGTTATGATTATCTAGAAGCGTTGCTTCCCAGGCTCAATGGCGCGCGCGGGAAGTCCCGCAATTGGGCCTCAGCTTTTTGAATTTACTATAATCTATTGGGATCCATGCTTTTGCCTCATTCTGAACAGTGATCCTGTTATGCACCTATTGCTTCAAATAAAGTAAAACCTTTTCTACAAGTGTGTACTTCGTTGATGCGATGGGAGTCTGACAGTGTGTGTGTGTGTGTGTGTGTGTGATGCAGGGGTGGATTAACCATTAAGCAGACTAAGCACGTGCTTAGGGCACCAGGGCCAAAGGGGGCACCACAAAGTTGGGAAAAGGGTGAAAAGAAAAAAAAGAATGAAGATTTGTTTTGAAAAAGTTATAAAACTAGTGCACAATGATCATGGTGCACCCTAGGGTTATCTTCTATTTTTTTAAAAAACCCAAATAGATCAGTTATGCTTCAAGAAAGATTCAACTCACTGTATATATTAACAATTGAAGCAGACATTCTGAGAGGTATGAATTTCGAGGATGTTATCGGTGATTTTGCGAAAATGAAATGTAGAAAAATGCCTTTCGCGTCATGAATATTGGAACTTTGATACTTCTGAAATATTAAAATAGATGTTGTATTGCATTTTTGTAGAACTTTATGTAGCCCAAGCTTGGCTTAGTTTGTACAGTATATCGTGTTATCATATGAATACATTTTTGTATTGCTGCAACCTGCATTGAATATCTGGTCAGACAGGTCAACAACTAAAACGGACTGGGTCCGTGTGGAAAGGAGGGGGGCTCCAAGATTGGTCAGTGCTTAGGGCACCAGTGAGCCTTAATCTGCCCCTGGTGTGACGTATGCATGTGGGTCCAATCTGTGCTCAGAACCATCCCAGCTGTGTAGCACAAGAAGTAGAGATGCAGGTTTTATCTCTGACTGAACTGTACTTTCTAATCGCAGTCCATTTAGTTTGTCCCATAACATTCAATAGTTCCCACTAAGTTCTAATGAGGAAAATTAAGTATTGCTCCTGGAGACAGGCAAACCTGTACCCAGTGCCACAATCCCAAAGTCAAGAGGTGTGTATATGTGGTGGTGGGGGGGGAGCTGTCTTACACTCACCCCTTCTATGCTACTGAGGGCAGCAGCTGATATTCTCCCCTAGACGTAAATGGCTACCGTTCATGTGAACATCCTAAGGTAGACTGTTGCTGTCAAGGATGCTATTCGGGCGGGGAGAAAATTATTTATTTATTTTGTTCAGGGCTTTTTTTGGTAGAAAAAGCCCAGCAGGAACTCATTAGCATAATAGGCCACACCCAACAGCAGAAACTCATTAGCATATTATGCCACATCCCTGACAGCACAGCTCATTGGCATATTAGGCCACACCCCCATGTTACCAGAAGTGTGCTCATCCAGCCACACCCACCTTTTGCTTCTTTTTCTGTTTACCTTGTTTGTTGTCCAAACCCAGGGCTTTTTTGTAGCAGGAACTCCTTTGCATGTTAGCCCACACCCCCCTAAACGTAGCCAATTCTAATGAGTTTCTGCTGTTGGGTGTGGCCTATTATGCTAATGTGTTCCTGCTGGGTGTGGCCAACTTGGAAGCTAGCCGGAACTCCATTCCTGTGCGTTCCTGCCTAAAAACAGCCCTGATTTTGTTTATGGTCCACCTTTTTTGCCGAGATTCATGGTGGATTATAAAATAAAAACAGCGCAGACAGATGACCTAAAGCAACTAATGAGCAAGGCAACAGGGCTAGGGTTGCAGAATTAGAGGACAAGGCAAACAACAAACTAAGGCAAGGATATACTATAAGCAATAGGGAAGGTGGATCACAAGGTATAAAATAATGCGGTAAAAGCAGACGATACGTGCAATCATTATTGTAGTAGATTACAACCCTGTACCAATGGGAAGAAAGCTCCTCTACGCGCACCCCCCCCCAAATGCTGTAGTGAGAAATGCACATATTCTTTCTCCCAGAATTGTCTCCAAGGTAAAGCAGGCAAGGAAGTGTCTGAGCCATATCAGAGCACATGAAATCACACCTGAGAGAATGTGTCAGAACGGTAATTGGCAAACCCTCTGGTCAGACAAGCACAGATGTGTTCTGATGATGCTTTACATCTAAGGTGCTTGAAAAGTCACCCCCTGAGGCGATTTCCATTTTAAAGTTGCTGACACTTGAGAAACCATTTTTTAAATAATCAATCACACTGGTGTGCACCTATTTATTTGGGTATAGTATTTCCCTCTTCAGGCAAATGGTCAGTACATCTCCAAACATAAACAGGTGAATGGTGAACAATTTGCTCGAGCAATTTCCCAGTTTTATTATGTTAAAGGTAGATGTTTTGTTCCAGCTGCAGTGCCACAATTATTTCATGGGGGTATGTATCTGGTTTGTAGGATGCAATCCAAATATAGAGAGGATACAGCCTTGATTTCTTAAGAGGCGTTCCTGGACTTCCTAAATGTGTAACAATGGCAGTTATGAGCCTCAAGGTGGGAATATGTTCACCAGCTGCTATAGCAAGGGCAACAACCGTAATCCTCTGGCTGACTATTTGCCACAGAGATCCATTCTGTAGTTTTGCCTCTGTAGTACTGAAAGATGTATTTATGAATAAATGGAAGAAAGCTATAACCTTAACAATACAGTATTTTCTCCCCCAGTTTTTTCCGTGTTACTAGGGCTTTTTTTGTAGAAAGAGCCCAGCAGGTACTCATTAGCATAATAGGGCACACCCAACAGCAGAAACTCATTAGCATATTAGGCCACGCCTCTGATAGCACAGCTCATTAGCATATTAGGCCACACCCCATGCCTTCTCTTGGCTTGTGGGGCACCCAGGCAAGCCGGCCCTTGGACAGGCCGGGGAAGGCATGGGGAGGCATTTAAATGCCTCCCCGATCCTTCCAGGGGCCCCCTTGGCCCGCCTGCCTTGGAGTTGCTGGGGGGGGGTCACTCTCCAGGCCTTCCCCCTGTAGCCACGCACACAGAGGTTTTGGCTGTAGTGGGCGTGGGTGGCCAACTCTGAAGCCAGCCGGAACTCTGTTCCTGTGCGTTCCTGCCCCAAAATAGCCCTGCGTGTTACCATCTGGAGAAAGATGGGGCATTAGTCAAGCAAAGGCTTGTGACAGAGAATCCTAGAACATGTAAGCCTTGGCTGTAGACCTTGTGCCCCTTTAAACTTGGACCTGAATTTTCCAAAACTTCAGAAATGTGCAAATTATTCAAACACCTTAAGTATCCCAAAATATGAGAGCTTTCACCCTAGTATGCTATAAGGATTTAACACCAGCAATTCTTGAGGGTTGCTATAAAGCACGTTCCCTTAAACAATCAATTGTGTCCTTGTGGCATAAGGGTGACAGAGACTGTATCCCATGTGCTGCTCTTGATAGCATTATTAAAAGGGAGAGAGGATCTAGTGTTCCCTCTAAAATGAGTTAGTGTGAGCTAGCTCACAATTTTTCATTTTTGTCTTAACTCAGGAAGGTTGGCTCCAGAGCAAACTAATTTATGCAGTAGCCAAATTGCTTCCTCACTCCTTTAATGCCAGTAGCTCACAAAGTAGAATTTTTGCTCACAAGACTCCACAGCTTTGGGCTCATTGTTTTGGGCTACGGTAGCAGGCATAGCTGCGCAGCAGAACAGGTAGTTACTCTTCCTCTTTCTGGGGAGAATGTACATTACTGAAAAAGTGGTTTTTCAATGCAGCCATTGAGATACGGTCCCAGATGGTAAAACAACTCTGTTAATAAAATTTTAATAACTGTTGTGTTTGATTTTAACGCTTGTAACCTCCATAGCATGTAACTGCCTGTATGACTGTACTGTTGTCGATTTCCATACCTGTTTTATGAGTAACATAGGACTGAACGATAGCCAGCGTTCCAGACCATGGCGTACTTTCCTCTTTCTTGAACACCTACAAATTCAGGAAACAACGTATTTAAGGGATTCAGGGAAACAAAAATATACAAAAAAGATAGCCTTTCAGCTTTCTCTAAAAGAGATGGGGCCAATGAGGAGTTGCTATGCTGGAGAGGAGGGGGTCAGGCAGAATCCACTTCCCTGTCTATCAAAAACCACTTGGGGGATGGCCTGAGATTGTTCTTTGGGAGCTACTGGAATGTTCCCCATGGCAGCTTCTTCCCAAAAGCAAGTACCCTACCCACCCCCCCCAGGCTGAAGAGTGTGGTGTGGTTGGCCTTGTTGCTTTGCCACCCTCCGGCGCTGGTGACCCCCCCAATAGTGACCAGGAGCAGCTTCCTACCTCTTCTCTCAGCCAGCCGCACAGGTGTATGGATGGTGTCCTACCCAGCACAGCACTGCAACCCTTCCAGCCCAGCACTATTTACCTAAGGCTGGGCTGATCGAACACCATAGTAATAAAACAGCACCATAGCAAGCAATGTTGTGCAAGGTATTCCTGTAGCATTCAGCTTCTTAAAAGGGAAA